CATTGATACTCATGCGCTGACGAAGGTAACAGGAGTTGCCGAAAATTTCGCTAATAAATATTTCTATGTCTCCTACAAGTCAAAGTATCGTAGCAGTTTATTTTGTCTGCGTCTACCTACTGATTTATTCATACGATGAGACATACGTGGATCCACATCAACAACATATATATATATACAGTATATATATATATATATATATACATATTAAAATATCGTTTTATTAACATGTACACTTTACATAATGTTTTCTGAATTTGTATTCCTACACCTCATGAGGGTATAAATGTCATAAAGTTTCAAAAAAGTGTTTTTAATCTAATGAGGTTTATACTTAAATAGGCATACTTAACACAGATGCCAAAATGAAAATATTTTGAATGTATTCTCACTGGTTCAGTCTCTTTTATTTCAGTGTCCGGAACACAATGTACTATCAACGTCCGGATTTATGTGATCTTCTGCAAATAAAAATCGCGCGGGAATATTTATTAGGTTTTATACTACTGGATCATCAGAATTGAATTAAATTTGCAAATTATGTTTCTTGTAATCCTCGAACGATATTACATACTTAAATATAATTAGGCGTAAGGATTATAAATATATAGGCCTATTATATTATATAAAACTAAAATCTTATGTATTATTTATACTACGTTTATATAGTTCTGATGTAACATTTCCGAGTATGTAAGAAATAAAAGTTATAATTTATAATTGGCCTACATCATTGTGTACGTGTACTTCCTTTGTCGTAATTGTATTAATAATACTTATATTTCATAATAATAATTATAATCAGTATAGGTCTTTAATCGAATTAAATATATTATAAACAATTCGAACTGAATATATTACTATTATATACTGTACTACTATAGCTTATAAACACTAATATTTCCAAATATCATAATACTTACAAATTACGAAAATTTCAAAGCAAGGTACCGTCCAATTTTACGAAACAGGAAATGACGTTGGTTGCTAGGCTACAGCTAATGCATATTCACTACCACCTGTGCTCATTAGACTAACAATAAAAACTTTTAGCTCAGTTTTGACAAAATCGACCAAAAAGATTTTATTGTTAGTCTAATTAGAACAGCTGTTATTGAATATTCATGATTATGCATGAGCTTGTTGCTTAGCAACCACGTCATTTCCGGTTTTACGTTTTTTGAGGTAGTCCTCGAAAAAGGATATCGAATTTTACAAAACCGGAAATGACGTCGGTTGCTAGGCTACAGCTCATGAATATTCAGTAACACCTGTGCTCATTAGACTAACAATAAAAACTTTTAGCTCAGTTTTGACAAAATCGACCAAAAAGATGTTATTGTTAGTCTAATTAGGACAGGTGTTACTGAATATTCATGATTATGCATGAGCTGGTTACTTAGCAATCACGTCATTTCCGGTTTTATGTATTTTTTTTAGGGCGTCCTCGGAAGGATTTCATTGCTAATTTAATAGACAAATTGACAAAGTAGCTAATATTGATGAAGCAATTCCTTACTTTTGGTTTAAGTATATAATGATATTTTAGCTATTGAATTTATTACAGTAAACACAGACAATGAATAAGGAGAGCAGAAATGCATAATCCATTTGATATTTATTTTCAAGCATTGAAATCAAGTTGGGATATATGTATACATTTTATTATTGTATATATTATATGTACATTCGGCAAAAATCAATAGACCTGATTTTAATCCTTAAAATTATATTATTATCTGACACGTCTATATTCTTTACAGCAAACGGGTTATTTTCTCTGTTATTAAGATAAACATTAGCAGTAATAATACAATATTAATAAACATAAAGCCTACACGAATTAATACATATTCTTTATATTATTTTTTAAATTCTTGCAGAGAAAAATATTTAAAAAATAGAATTCACATTATATTTTAATTAATTGCATATCCAGAATTTTTGCAGGAAGCTTGATGAGTGACAATATTTTTGGCTATCCATAAAGTACTGGTAAGTTCCGTTGCCCTTTCACGATCGAGTCAAGACATTTTTTTCCTGATATTTGTAGATTCTTTGTCTACATCCTGTAATAGAAAAATGTTGAGAAAAAATTTAGAAACTTAAAAAGGATTGTTACGGTGTATATAGTGAGCACCCCAACCTGAACATTATCATATTCAGGTATCACAATGTATGGACAATGCTTTCATAACATGGAATGAATGAGGATTATGGTATTTGGTAGACCTAGTAGATCGTAATAGCGTGAACAAGTTAGCATTCTATTCATTCAATAAATAAATCAATCAATCAATCAACAATCAATCAATCAATCAATCGAAATAACTTGTATGGCGCCAATTTCCATCACATGAAGTAATGTTCTGTGGCGCTAAAAGACGATAGTATACAGTAGAATCCCTTCTTTGGGACACCCCTATTTCGGGGACACTTTTCCGTGATGCAATATATTTTTGACACTACGGCCAACCCAAGGGAACAGGGGCATTTTCTAAGTGTGCCAAATCGCCAAATACCCCCTATTAAAGGGACACTTAATGTTTTTGTGTCATTAATATCATTGTATTATAACAACTACAGCAGTCTCAAAATAAGAAAAAAATATTCAAATTTATATTTTGACACCTTTTGAGCAATAAACCTGAATCCTTAGAGTGAACAACAGTTAGGCTTACCGCATGTGTTACTTTGTATACACCAATCTTGTCAATTTTTACTCTCAAACATGGGGCTTTATTTTTCTATGTTTTTCATGTACAGTAGAAACCCTCCTTTGGGACACCCCTATTCAGGGGACACCCTATTATTAGGGGACACTTTCCGTTAAACTAGGTGTAATATACCTTTTAAAACTACAGCCAACCCCTATTAAGGGGACACCATTATTAAGGGGAGAGGGGCACTTTTTGAGTGCAAAGTGGTTAAATCAATACAATTTCACCCCTATTATTAAGGGGATACTTTTTGTTATTCTATCAAAAAAACTACAGTAGACTCAAAATAAGAAAAAAAATAATTAAAATTTATATTTTGACACCTTTTGAGCAATAAACTTAACATCAACCAAAAAGTTTTTCCATCATTGCGCATTGCATGCCTAATACATTTGTTACTTCGTATAAATAAAATCTTGTCAATTTTTTCCATTAACCGTAGAGATTTCTTGTTTTGTGTATTTTGATACTGTATAGGAGTCTAATCTATCCGTATTCTATCTTGTGCATCCAATAGAATGCTCAATATTTAAAAAATAATATTTGGTCATTAACGTCGCACTCGAAAAAAGAAACACTATCGAGAACATACACAAATTTTGCAGTTTTAATTACATATTTTAAATGAATTATTTTTTGCATTGCAAATTATTGTTATAAATTAGGTATAATTAAACTGCTAACTCATTCTCAGGTAAATCAAAATAAAATTATAAAGAATTATCCATGTCATCATTATACAAAAGTATGCCAAAAACCCCCTATTAAGGGGACAATTTCACGTTTTTGGTATATGTTCATATTATTTGGTATATAGAATTTTAATCCTTACTATATTGGTTTCTCTGTTCAGGCTACATCCATTCAATAGAAAGCTCAATATTTTTTTTAATGTCATTAACATTGCATCATGAAATAATACTGGGAACATATAAAACTATTGTTGTTTTAATTACATTTTTTTCTGATTTCATATTATAAATGAATTGTATTTGCATTGCAAATTATTGCTATAAATTAGTTATAATTTTACTGTAACTGATTCTTATGCCAAAACGGGACAATCTCATGTCTAGTGTCCCCTGAATAGGGGTTCCCTATACAGGGGACACCCCTATTAAGTGGACACTTTTTATTCCCGAAGCGTCCCCTTAATAAGGGTTCTACTGTAATTTCAGAGTTCACAAAATGGTTAATCTCATTTTTAAGTTAAAATGTGTTTTTCTTCGATGCTAAAAATAATTATTATTTAAAATGACAACATTGTCACGGTTAAAGAAAATGTATGAAAGTGTGCCATTCGATAGAAATTAATATAGATTCATAATATAGTATATTCAAACAATAAACATAATACTATAACTATATCTTCACACAAACATTTTTCATGATATAATATTCATTGACTGATTGATTGAATTTATTCGATGCTAAACCTGCACAAGCAAGATAATGAAATGGATTGAGATCAAGAAAAGTAAAACTTACCGTAACAAGCATCAGGAACGCCCATTAGGCCGGAGCCTGCCCATCCAATGTAGTCCAATTTAAATATAACTGTCTGACATGAGCTGAAAGATTTAATTCCATGGATAATTAAATCATTACATTTAAGTAAGTTTACAATTCAATATCTCAATGACAAAATTGTATTCCTGTCAATTGGCAGTTAAATAATACCATTGCTATATTCTTATATATACATAAACACTTAAATTGACTGGTAGTGTCAAATTCAGGATTTTTGTAGGAAAATGTCCGTAAATCAAGAAAAAAGAAAAAAAAATGTTCGCAGGGGGTTGAACAATTCTGATCGGGGTCTCAAGATTGGTATTTTGACCACAATTAGATTGGTGTTTTGACCACAATTGATTGGCTATGAAAATGAATTTGTTTGCATTGGTAAATTTTGAGCAAGGCTATTTTCTATTTGCTTTTGAATTTAAAACTAATAATTTTTAGCTATTTACAGCAACTATATATGCTATTGGGGCCAAGCATACAACCTTATGCGGAGTATCCGTGCAAACATGGCGACATAGAGAGTGTGACGCTCACCAATATTATTATTATTATTATTATTACTATTACTATTATTATTATTACTATTATTATTACTATTATTATTATTATTATTATTACTACTACTACTACTACTACTATTAACATTTCTATTATTATTATTATTATTATTATAAACAAGATGGTCAACTGCTCTGTATTTTCGATAAAAAATACACTTTCACAGCTGTAGCCAGGGAGAGTGTGCAACCAGCCACTACCTAAAATTGTATTCATATTCAAGTTGTTTTTGGCCATCTAGAGCATGGAGCATGGATGTGCCATAATAAAATCCATTTTGTGCAAGTCCCACCCTGGATCCCATCTATTTCGAATTCCTGGTAGCTATATTTTGATGTCGACATCATGGATGTACACTTCCATGAAGATATTAATATAAATATTGATAAAGACGGTGTCATTTGGGCCTACTTCGATCACTTGCGCTGTCTTTTAAAAATAATATAGAAAATATAACGAATTTAGATTATTCATGATTAAAGGTTGTGCACCAGATTATAACAAGATTCTTGGTAATAAATTTCATACAATGTGAATTAAAAAAAAAACAGATACGAATCTACAATGTAAACAACGAATGGAAGTTAACAAGCCGCAAGCTGTGGAAATAACGTTTGTTTATCCGGTTTCAGGTCTTTGATTGTTTTAGGCAATAGCGAGTTACTTGGAATGTATGTTGTTGTTGAATAGAAGACAGAGAAATGAATAGAATGCAGCCATGTCAGTGCATGCTTCTGTCGAGGAAATTATCAATGCCTTCAGTGCCTAACAAACTTACTCAAAATAATAACCATACAATGATGACAGAATTCCCATTTAAAATATATTGAAAACGATGCAAACTGTTCAATACTGTACTCACATTTGTTATTAATTGTAAAGTCTCCTTCGTAGTCTTTCAACTCCATTCAGTATTGTTTATAAGTAAAACGCCACCTGGATTGGTATAAAAAAAAAAAATTATTCTTTTTTCTAAAGCTCCATTCCTTTATGATGAGGATGATGATGGTGATGATAATGATAATAACGATGGTGGCGGTGGTGGTGGTTATGATGATATTGTTGATGTTGATGATTATGATGATGATGATGATGATGATGATGATGATGATGATGATGATGATGATGATGATGATGATGATGATGATTATGATAATGATGATAACGATGGTGGTGGTTATGATAATGGACGATGGTTATGATGATGAGGATGAAGATGATGATGATGATGATGTTGATGATGATGATGATGGTGATGATGCTGTTGCTGATGATGATGATGATGATGCTGATGATGTCGATAATTATGAGTATGTTTATGATGGTAGGATAAGAATCGACTTTTTAAAAGAAAATGACTACCAATGGAACCAGTATATAGGCTGTTATGTAATTTTTAAATTACTCAAAACATACACGATGAACGTAATCGGTGATGTTACGTAATAATGAAGTTCAGCGTAGAAAGAATGACAAACGAAACTCATACAACGTTGAGTCTAAAAGCTGCCTGAACCGATGATAATCGAGGGACTCCTAGGTAGCTCCTGTTTCACAAGGGCCGCCGTCGGAATCGTGGCCTGACCACTTTTTCTCAATACTATTACTTATTTTAATTTTAAAAAATATGCTGATACCTATATTATGTGAATTTAGTATTAATGTTCGCATCACCTTGTCTCTTTAAAGGGCGGATGAGCTCCTCGGAGTCAACGGCCAACCATTAATTAGTTTAAGGAATAGGAGTAGTTTAGTCTCATTGTTATTGTTATTATGATTATTTTTATTTTATTTTATTGTTTCTATTTTATTGTTATTTGCTTTTTCTCAGTTGGCCTATATTATTTCTCTGTAAAGCCTGTCTCTTATACACATCTAGATGTGTATAAGAGACAGTATATATACAGCATGGTTATATTTGGTTTCAGCAAATTCGTTCATGACAAAGCTTCATTTATTAAGGATTGTTAAGTTAAGAATAAGTGATATTAAGAAACAAAACCGGAGCCTTGCAGGCGTCAACGTTCCTATGTGGGAGTCCCCCAAACTGTCACCGTGACACAAAGGTATAAAGGTCAAACCGGCCCTAATTTCACCAAATCAATATTTATATCTTTTTAAAGTGAGGGACATTTTTGTAAAGTATGTATGTGCTATTCCCCAGCAGAGGAGCCATTTTTTTTCAGCCATGGTGGAGCTGAGATGGGTAGGATCAACTACATGATGTGTTTGCTGCCCCTTGTGTGAGATTTGCCACCTGCTATTTCCGGCCATCCAGAGGTGCCATATTTCCAAAAATTAAATATAAATATTGGTTAGTTGTTTTTTTGTTGTTGTTTTTTTTTTTTCTTTGTTTTTTTTCTAGAGGCTAGGCACAATATTCTAGGGTTTGTAACTAACTCACCCAATCGTCTGGCTTGAGCAACACAACTATTGTATTTGGTGGAGAACGAGAAAATCATATTTATAGGCCTAATGAATGCTATTCTTTAAATCTGTTTTTAGATTCTTATTAAATTTGTGACCATATGACTAAAAAAAAAAACCACAAATCTTTTCATAGACATCTTACATTTTATGTATGACGCGCCGTCCATGCAAAAATATTCATCGACCGTTTGTTATTAGCCACGCTTTAGTGACTCCCGCGTGTGTGGGCAAATTGTGATGAGAGCATCGGACGGCGCTCATCCGTAAACAACTAAATTGATCTAAACGGAGCAATTTTCTTCATCTTATTTTAAAATATACATAATTATTGATTTATCGTTGATGGAGATAATTACCTGGACGATTAAGATTAAACACACGGGATGTATTTTCAGATATATGTTGTTCGCAGGTGGATTTCCTATGCTAATCAAGGTGGCTATGTATGTCAAACGCTTGTTTTCTAAAATGTATATTGATTATAAAATGATTTAATATCAATGTCTATTTTTACTTCTTCATAAACGCATGCGTCAAGTTGGTTATCGTTACTCTATCTTTTTTTTATCCTACATCATCATCATCATCATCATCATCAGCATCATCATCATCATCATCATCATCATCTATCGCCGTTAATGTCATAACTAACTTAGTATCACTATCACCATCAATATCTCATCATACACGTTATCGTCACCAAATCATTTTCATCATCATTATCATTATCATAATCAGCAGTACCATGATCCGGTCGTAATCATAACTATCACCATCATCCGCAATGTCGCCATAACTGTTGTTATCAATACGATAATCATTATCATCATCTTATCACTATCGCTTTTATCTTCTTTTTAGAGTGTTGTTTTTAGTCCCAATGAAAGTCCTGCTGTCACAAGAATTGAACTAAGGACATTGAGATTAGAAAGCTAGCACCTTAACCATGATTATACAGTATAACATATGTTGTTATATATATTATTAATAATATTATCATTATTCTTAATATAGTTATTATTAATATTTATACTCATATAATTAATAATATTGATATTATTATTGTTATTTTAACTATTGTTATTGTTATCATTATTGTTATTATTATTGTTAATGTTATTGTTATTATTATCATCATCTTAGTTAAATATTAGGCTAGAACGTTTTGAAGAAGATTTTACGTATACAAATGAAGTTGCTATTTTTATGTACAAATATAAGTACCGGTACGACATGCTAACAACTTCACTTAAACATTTTTTTATTGCTCATCGTGAAAACCATAACTATAATACCAGAAACAAAGATGATTCCTAATTCCAGTTAGAAGGGTTAAAACGGTGTTGTCTTCAGGTCCAAAAGTATGGAATGCCAAATTATGGCAAATGTGCCCATATGTTGGCACAGTTTAAAAAGATTCTTCAAGGTCTGTTTCATTGTGTAGGCCTATATACTTATGTGGATGTACTAGTTTACTATGAAACGAATTCATTGCTTCCGATGCTTATATTTGGGCGAGTCGAGTGGCCGAGCGGTAAGGCAGGGGCGCCGCTAGCTACTGCCTTAACATCGGTGCTGGTTCCAGCTGCTCCTCACCCATGGTTCGGTTGGTAGAACCAAGTCTTCTCGGACAAGGACTTAAAATGGAGGTCCAGTGTATACATCTGGCTCGTGTGCGCTTTAAAGAACCCATTGAACTCTTTCGGAAGAGTAGAGGGTTACCCAGATGTTATGGTTCATTTCATGCCCTGTCGTTGTGGAATGATGTGAACATCTACCAAGAAGCTCCTCTTTACGGCTGCTAGGTAGTCACGGACCACGCCCATACGCAATTCAGCACAATGACGCTGCAAGTTATGGGTTATTCTCCTATCTTTATCTTTCATATTATTTACTTTTATGGATTTTTCTCAACTTTTTGATTTGATTTTTGTATTTGTTTTGTGCTGTTTGTGGTTGTGATTTTGTTCCTGTTCATTTTGCCTAATTTTTTTAATGTAAAGGCAGCACAACATTTTTTAAGCAGTTTGCTTTTAGTTGTGTCTCCTCCATCCGTTTATCAATGTTTCATTATTCATCATGATGTGTTTATTTTGTATTTTATGATGGAAATAAATAAACCGTATCTTATCGTATTACTTGAGAATGAACAAAGTACATTGTACGTTAAACGTAAATGACGTCAGAAACCTTACGTCATATTCATAAAATCTCTTTTAGTGGCATCGTCACGTCTGTCTTCAGCTTATTAGCAATAAAATTCAATATTTAAAATTCTGACATTATATATTTAACTTGATTAGTTTTAAATTGAAAAATTACGATATAATATTTTCTTCGTAACATAGTACCATTTTTTCGCCACATAGACCATTAACTTAGCTGTGGTGATTATTCTGCAAACTAACTCAGCAAACTCATGAGTTACTGAATTGCAACATTTAATCTTTTTAAAATAGCAATTTAAGCTGTAGTAAACGTTAGAGTCGACTTTCTTTTTTTTCGATTTTAAGACAGGCAGTACAGTACTGTACATCCTTAACATGTACTATTAGGGACTGACCGAAATTTTCCAAAAAATTGGATCAGCATTTTTTTTTTTTTTTTTTTTTTTTTTTTTTTTTTTTTAAGTATAAATTTTATTTTTTTTTTTTTATTTTGTTTAAGTATAAATTCGAGATATACCACTTCCGAAATTAACATTTAGAACATTTTAACATAAAATCTAAAACAAACATGTATTTTTATCAAAATCGAGCCATAGATGCACGCATAAAATCGGTAAAATAGAAGGCAAATTTTGAAAACCGAGACCTATCCTATTCTTCACTACTATACCGTACTAGCTTGAATGAAAGATCGTATTAATTACCTTACGGTATATTGGACAATAAATAAAAACAGGCTTAGGTCTAGCCATCGCTTTAAAATCGGTACATAGCTAGACATTTTCTGCTCCGTTACGGTTTCAGGCCAACCATAAACGAAGTATTTTTCTCTTCTTTTTTTTCGAAGTTTACTTCAATTGTAATACATACACTTGGTTAGTATTTATTCCGTCATTACTTTGAATATTTTGTGTTTGGCAAGCTTGCCATCATTCTATTGTGGTGCCTACGAGCTAGTACGAGCCCCTTATAGGCCTAGGGTCTTCATAATAGGGACTGCAGTTTCAGGCCTATCCTATTTCAGGTATTACTAAAAACAAAATACAAAAAACAAACAAAAAAACCGACCTGCGATCTTGATTTCTTTCATTTAAGGGCAACATAACAATTTTTTTTTTAATTTTTTTTTTTTGGCCTTATAGGGTGTCAAAATGGATGATGATTGGATTGGATTGCATTTATACACCAACGAAAGTCTAGAAGATGATAACAACGCCACGAAGATGTTGATAATGATGGTCAACATGTTGAAGATGATGGCAGTATAAAGCCAGGTTTCCATACACTTACTACGCACTATTGCCGACCGACACTGATGCTGATGGTCGCTCGAATC